GATCTCTAATTTCCATTCCTGACACACTGTAATTAAAATCTTAAGGTTAGATCTGTTGCAATTTGACAGCCAATCAAATAAAAATTGCTTAACATGCGAGTTCGGAACGGTTTTGTTATTTGTCGAATGCTAGTACAAATAGAGTTATGCTTGATACATCACTAACAATTATAGAGACCTCTCACAATTGAAACGAAGTACAAACACTACTTTATGTGTTAGTTTAACTGTGTATACGTCATTTGTACGCCATATCTCTATCACTTAAATTATATACTCTCCACCAAAAATTATCAATGTGCTTTATCAATAAATTTCCGCTTCTGTTATACGTTAAACCAAATATATCACAATAAGAAAAATTTTATGGTTCAATCGGCCAGATTCTTCGTATCTTCGTAATGCTGGATAACCAATTTATCCCATGCGCTGTTTGTATCATGTGCCTCGGAATTAACAAGTGTTCGCTACTTTCCAAAATCAAGAAAAGTTATGGTAGCAAAAGTTGTAGAAAACTCGAAAAAGTCTGGTTAATTGCCAGAGGCAATTTCGATCCCGCCAACAAAAACTCCAAATAATACACCAATAAAATTAGTATTAACAATGACGTATACTACATGTACAGACCCTTCCAAAAAATGTCCGACATTGATTTGCATAATTTTATGGTAAAGAGTTATTCGTTACGTGTATTTATGCGTTGTTCTGCATTACCAATGTATATAAAATTGTACTTGGAACACGAGCAAGTCATTCCTTTGAGATATAGATATGTTTTGGCAAAGTACTGGACCACTGAAAGTGAGGACATTATGTATCGCGTTGGACAATTATTCTATAATCGGTTTATTAAATAACAAAATGGCAATGTCGAAATTGGGCACAAAAATTGGAAAACGTTTGTCTATTCAAAACCTTTACAATCTTAAAGGAATTACGAGAAGAATGGAAAAGTTTAAAGCTTTCTATTCAGATGGCATATTAAACATGCATTAAAGGCCAAGATTACCTATTGAATATAAACTTTGCAACTATAAACATACTGCCATTGGATATAATACAAGTCGCTAATTAATTATTTGATAATATTATGCTCATCCTTTTGCACTATAACCGGCTGTCGTCACTTAATATAATCGCGTGGTTTTCTTAAAATTGTTCTATAACCAGTGCTAGAAGTTTGATTATCATAGAGATTAGCCTCCAAGTATTGGATCTGAATTGACAGTCGTATACACAGATACCAAAATTTTTTTGCGCAAGCAACAACACTATTTAATTAATGCCACAAGTTTCTCTATTTCTCTAAGCAAAACTCACAATAGATTTGTTTTCTAAATGGCACGGTTAATAATAAGCCACTTTGCGACATCTATATGATTGTAGCAGTTTTCCTCTAATATCTAATGACTGTGCATGTATTTCTGCGTTGCATTTATGCCATCGTGTTGTCTTTCGGGCGGTTTATGGGGGCGCAATCAATAGAACAATCCATTATTTAACAGTTTTCCCCTATAAATATTGGTTTAGCTAATTATAAAGCTCACAATTTATCTAAATAGCATGTCCATTTTTTCCCCAAAATGCACGTTACTATCATCTCTTGCCAAACTTCTTTATAACCTACGCAGTGTTATTCAATTTCTAACGTTGATATGGATAGGAGGTTTCATTGTATCCAAAATTACATATGTGGAGAGATGGATGAATGAACAAAAGAACACATGGCCACATTAAGACGGTGTACGTATAAACAGTACCGAATATTGCTGTAATGTTATCACAATGGAATCTGTACTTGCGTTACTGATCACGTATTGATAATCAGTAATAAAAAAAATTCTTTCCAGTATTGTTTTCTTTATCAGCTGTAGCAACCTCTTGTTTCTAATGACCGCCAATAAATTCCCGCCTTAAATAAGGGTCTGGTGTCACGTCACACGTCGAATATAGTCAAGTTGGGAAAACAGATTTAGTCCCATTAGTTCTGAAATTTTCGTGCCGTTAGTAGAAGAGAACGAGAACAGAGAAAGGTGTTTTGATAGTGTGTATGTGTAGTTCAATTGACAGGAACATGGGAAGGGGGGGGGGAGTCAATGCAATAGCACGTGTAAGACTATAGCTCGGCATATTGTAGTAGGTAAAGCAACATAACATATTGTTGTTAATATATTATATGCATCAATATGCGTGAAATGCTAGATAAAGTTTTCTACTCATTGCAGTGGGCTATATATTTGTTTACTTAATGTTTCGAATTGTATCGCAGCCATTGCCCAATTCATTACACAAGTACAGTACCGCATCCATAGGCGTTGTTTGGTTGTTGGAAAAACTGTACGATCATTTAGTGTGTGATCAACAACTGTATGTGGGGGCTGATTACTGTTGATTACAGTTGATTATCATCCTTATTATTTCCCACACATTTATTCAAAAAGTAGAGCATATAAATAATGTATAAATAATGATAAGCATGTAGAACGAATACTACATATTAATATCGTCATTCAACAATTTCTCGTCTGTCATCCTAAGCATTGATCTCCCAATGCAATATGGCTGAGGGGTTGAGTGCATTAGATCGGCTATGATTGGTGCGTGCACAATCTAACTTGTCAGTGACGGGTTTCTTGTCAGGAAAGAGAGACCTTATGAGTTGTTTGTGGGTGGGATTATGTAATCTGGCATCGAGGATGCGGTTAGTACATGGGCCATAGGCTCAATATTTATCCGCAGCATTCACACACATTCGATTATTTTACAGTGCATTCATGACGCCCCTGTTCAGATCAACAATCGATGTAACATTATAGTAGTGATAATAATGATAATGACGCAATTAAACCTGCGGTTATATGACCAGAATACTTTTTTTATTTTCGCCCGTATGAAAAAACTAGCTATTGTTCTCATTATTTCAATGTTTGGAGATATAAAGACAAGTGATGCTAAAATAGTATGGTTCATATGCGTAGAATGACTGCCAGCATGACAAATATGTGTGTACTATATGAATTTCCCACTCATCTTGCATACTCCCCGCACTCCCTCTCTTCACACTGTTAGAGGGGCGCCATATCGTGCGAATATCTAGCCTGTTTGTATCACAACTGTTCGACATTGAATTCAGCAACAGATGTTTGTTTGCTGCATGTCCAATATGAAGAACCACAAACTCCATATTGCAGCCACTGAACACCAACCAATGGACGTACGATAGTATCATACGATTCTGTATCACATTTATAACAGTAAGGGGTTTATATGTTGTGGATAACGCTAGTGAACGCTAGGAAAGGACGATGTCTGAACGGAAAAAGAAGATTCAAGAAGCGACGATTGCGACAGATGTAGTAGAAGGGGCAGAAACGTAAATGAGAGGATTATTATTAGAGCGTTTGTCACTTGATCCATTGTCTGTGCTGATTGCCGATTAAATTGTTTGTGAGTGTTTGCTAATGACGTCAAACTGCATTGCTTATCTTATTACAGACGATAAAACAGTGACACTTTCAAAGAACAACAATAGTGGAACAAGGCGGGTGATGACTGTGAGGATGGGTGACGACTGTGAGGATGGGTGACGACTGTGAGGATGGGTGACGACTGTGAGGATGGGTGACGACTGTGAGGATGGGTGGTGACAGTGAGACTGTGATAAAAACGTAGCAACCAAACATGTCAATTCTAATGAATCAAATTTGTCCATTCCTATTATTGTTACTGCCATTAATATTGGTCGGTTAGGTTTCTGTCCATTCGCTCAAAATGCTACATCGACCTTGTTGCCATATATACAATTGACTTGGACAAATAGGTAACGACACATATATATTGAACGAAAAAGCATGTGTTTGGTGCTTGGAGAGGAAAGAGAGACGATAAACATAGGGAACAAAGTAATACGTACGAAAATACAATATGCAGGAGATAATGATATTTCTGTCTAGGCACAATGGATATAGGGATCATTGTGTAAGGAATTGGGATAGCGCTTACGTGTATGCTAACAATCCATATAAAGAAACATAAGCTTATTTATTGCCCAAAAGAAAACACGTACTGCGCTTGCATTTTCATTCGATGATCCAATGTAAAGGATAATAAGGGACAGTCTCCCAGACGTCATTGTCCGTACCTTTGGAATTGTGTGTGCTATTCAGGAGTAGAGTGGACAAGAACAAGAATGGCCATGATTGCAAAAAGCTGTGGGTTGATTGATGTTATGTATTCATTCACATGATAATGGGAATTGTTTGATATACTTTTATAGTAGCAATATATTGCATCATTCTCAATTAATTAAAATCAACAAACATTAAAATTACTGATTAATCAATCATCAATCATTGTCAACTTTCATGTCATACTAAATGCTTGTATTTCTCCACTTGATACATGCAACCAACATCTACATACTCTCACGTACATACGCAATTACATATGTGCTAACATCATGATATTTCCATATTATATAATACAACATACCGACATGCCATTGTTTATTCTATTGTACGTACATCACATTAGCTACGTTTATATGTAATCACTATAATATTGTCCAGGGTATTGTTGATTTATTCATTCAATTATTATTTCCATCAGCTGTGTCACCCAATGTCTAATATTGTAAAAAAACCCTGTGTTTGCAATGTTTGCAATGCCCAGTGTATATTTTTATTAATAGCTAAAAATCACATATCAACACACCCTCACCGCCGACACTCTCACCCAAACAATTTCCCCCACTCTTCTCCAGCTGCCCACGATTATACTCGTCACATATACTCTCCCCCATTCAAACCACTCTCATATATATACATACACACAACACATACCCCACATACATAACATTTATACAACAAAAACACCCAAAAGACGACGACCACAGAACGAAAGCAGCAACAAGCAAATAACCACCTTGCATACGCAACCTACATTCAACATACCGTATAGACCCTCCTCCACTATACCATTTCACTCTTACTACATTCCGCATGTCTCAGGATAACAATACCGTCCTTCAGACGTTCGACGACACTAGCCACTATACGCGAAACGTAAGCACGCGACTGCGATTGATCCCTTAAACACTATTCGATACCCTTACTGTGCGCACTCTATGTAGCAATGTTGTCTTTTTTTGTACCATGGTGCATGCTTATTAATGTTGTAACCCATTGTTCGTTCGACAGCACTTTCAGTCTACGGCGTTTAATCAACTTTCGAATTTAAGTGCAACAATCGAGCAACTTGAAAACGAAAACAGGGTGAGTAGAAAGTTTGCGAGAGGGAATAGCCGTGAAAGTAGTCGATTCGTAGATGGTTTTGTCTGATGATGGTTACAGCTAGAATATATAATCGTCGGATCGATTTTTGTACTGACAATACGACGTAACTATTATTCTTAGGATTTAAAAGTCCGGGTTTCCGAGCTCGAAGAGGAAAATAGAAAATTGAAATCCGTAAGTGCCATACTAGCCTTTTGAAAGCTGCATCACCCAAATCGAGGTCAATCACCATACGTAATTACCACTAGAAGTGGTAACAAAAAAGTAGATTGCAATATACTAGAAGACTGTTCAAATACTGTCAGAAGATCGCCAAAAAGACTAGCAGAAAAACGACTGGCAACATTATGAGAAAACTACTAGCAGAAACTTATTCACAATCCACATTTCTCGTTACAGGAAGTAGCTCCTCATGATAAACAACAGCTCCGTGACCGACTGCAAAATATAAAGTCAATGTGCGATGAGTGCGAATCAATCCTGGGTATAAAGGTGAGGTTGCTCTAGTCAAAACATTGTCATTATCGGATAATTATTGATCAGGTCACTTGATCCAATGTCCTATCGCCATCACTATCGGAAGGCGGTCCTTGTATATCATCTTATATAGCATACTCGAAATGACATTGGACGAGTGACTTTTAACAATATACTTACGTTTACTAACATTACACTCACTTGATTATTCTGTCAACTAGCATTTATCACTGAAGCAACAAATCGGTTATCATTCGCAAGGCCAAGTCCAAAATCATGTACACCTGCGTCCTCAAAATGGAGAAAGTAAGTTAATTAAACAAAAGTGCCAGTAGAATAAAACAACGGCCATTATTTATCGTTTATAATATTAATCTTTTATGATATGCTTCTTTATTCCGCGTTGCCTCCTCCCCTTAATTAGACATGATGGCTGCATTTAACTTTGGATCACAATCAATGTTGACTACTAAACCACCAACACCAGAGCGCATGGTGGAAGAAACCAATGGACCCCCCTCTCCGTCGAATAGTCATGAGAATAGTATTGGTGGCGGAAACAATGATTTTCCGGTTAGTATGAAAGACGGTCGAGAGGGAATTCAATAGTGCGAAACGATTGTATTGACTTGCAAATAATTTTCTCGTAGATTTTTAGGGATATGGTCGATACTGAAGAACAAACAAATTATAATAATGACAACAAGCAAAATATCCAGAACTTGCAAATTAATGCAACTAATAATAATAACCGACGCCCCTACAATAATTATAATAATAATGGTAGCAGCAGCAGCAGCAATAGTAATAATAACAATGCATTCAAGAAGAAGGTAAGATAATTCATATATTTACTGATTAAAAATTGCTGAATAATTGCTCATATTGTATTCATTATCAGTCATTTACCGTGTGGGTTGCATGGCGAGGCCGCCCATCAACCGATGCACCATTACGACAGATATTCGGTGGCCTAGACGTAAGGAATATTTCAATAATACTGTAAACAGGCATTTGTGAGTTATCGAGAGGCATTCAATAACTCTTTTCTATTATAACAGATAAAGGATGTCCGCCCATCTCCAAATAAATCCTTTGCCCACATTGATTTTAGTACAGCGGATTCAATGCACAAAGCGCTAGCAAGGGATGGCGAGGTAATAAACTTCAGCGTTGGGTTAAATAATCTTTGTATTTGTATTGTCCCCTAAACCGCAGATATTAGTTCTCCTTCATCAAGCATCTCTAATCTCTCTGTTATTTATTCTATTATTCCCCTCGGAAACACAGGATATTCCAAATTTTGGTCACCTGCGTGTAGAGAAAGGCAATCCCCATCCCTCTCGTCCAATGGGTAAAAACCACTCCCTTCCCTCCTCTTCTTCCTCCCCGCTATCCTCATCCTCTCTCCAATCTCCCAACTCTCCCCAATCTCACTCCTCCCCCAATCAACCTTCATTCTCCTCTCCTCCCCTACCCCCCCACACTCCCACGTCATTCTCAGACAACAGACCGAGACAACAAAATCAACAAAATCGAAAAAATGACTATGTTAGAGGCGGATATCCAAATGCGTTTAATCGGCAGAATAGTAGTAGTAATAACTATGAAGAAGACCTCGAAAACCAAAACAAGGCAATGTCAATTAAAGGTTGGCAAGACATGGCCGCACAAGGAACAACGAGTATTCCCAATCATCAAGAGCATAAAGCTGATATGTAGAATATTCACAATCGATGGGAGTTGAGTGAAGTGATGGGGTTTGTTCTGACAGAGCTTTGTGTCGTTTTTGTTTTTACAAATTCGTGGGGTTTTTATTTTATTTGGCGACTTTGAACGGGTTGAAAATTGTATTCATAAGCATAGAATTTATTTTAGTTGGTCTAATTGGTAAAAAATCCGAATATTTCTATTTATAGCAATGTTTGAGATGGGTGATATTGTAGTTTACATGCTAGTATTGATTTGACGCTTAACTCATTTCCAAATCATCTTTTAGTGTAGATTATATAAACTTGGAGCATATCTTTTATCTTATAAATATTCTGTTGTCCCTTTCGTCCGGTAGGCATATTAATATAGTTTATTATGTCTTTAGAATTCTTTACTTTCTGTGGATCAAAATGTGAGAATATAGACCACTTTCTCTTATTATTTTTTATTCGGTAAATTTGTTTTATTCCTATGCATTCATACTTCTGTCTGTTATAAAATATACAGGTTGTAATGTCACAAAGCGCAAGAGCAATTGTAACAATATCACGATTACAGAAATATAAAAACAATGGTTTTTTAAGACTGTCTTGGAGTGAAACTTATTATTACTGTATGTGATACCTCTTTCAATATTTACATCATATTGCACATATAAACACGAGCATTTGTTTTAAGGTTCATCCTATTTTGTTAGTGATTCGCATTCGCAACCTTTATTAGGGAATCACCAAGCCTCACAACATTGTATTCCAGCATCAGATCTTTCGCCATTATCAAAAAGTATCTATGAAAATCTATCTACCGTCAAACTTGCGCCTGCAACAGTGGGTTCCGTAAATGGTTATGTTTCTTTGTCCGTGCACGCACATCCTAATCACATCCTTATCTTGTGTTTCCAAGGATTAAGTAATGCATGTGAACCTGTAAATAACCCCAACAAAAAGAGTGGCAATAAGTTGTACTCGATAATAATAATAAAGAGATACGAAGGAGTAACTATCGTGAGAGTAAATATCGTGAAAAACTTTTATTCATAACAATGTGTTTGCTAAGTATAGGCCCAGTTTAAGCTTTCTGCATACATTAGAGAGGAAGAGAACAAAAAAGCCCATTACCATGTTAATGTAAAGGGGTGTGTATCTGGATGCTACTAGGAGTGAAATAAGAATATTTGTTGTATTTAACGCCGAATAATATCGTCATAATACTCGAACGGTCGAAGAAGGAACAGTCGAAGAAGGAACAGAAACTTAATTCAAAGGAAGAAAAATGTCCATCTTGATACTTCATTATTCATTGCCCTTCCTGCAGGAAGACTTGGTCTTCCAAATAAGGCAACGATAGACAAGATAAACATAGTAATAGTGCGTTTGTATCAACGACAATCACCAAAGGCTAAGCAAGCCGCTGTGAGCATGCTTGCGTCTCAATATGCTGAGATATCGATTTTTCCACTGATTTAACAAAGCAGAAAAATATTACATTAGCATTACAAACATGCAATAGCCCTGAAACATGACCGAATTCATCAATAGGATTAGGCAATATCTGTTCCACCCCGAGTATCAAGCGGTAATGCTGGTCTGGGTTCCAGTAACTGATGTTAAGCTAAAGGTAATATAGAAACAATCAATGTCAAGGTACCAATAAATATAAATGCTGGGACTTGCAAACTTTCACATACATTTCGATGCATATGGTTGCTTTTGAAGATTATGTAGATACTCTTGAACTGCAACCCTGTGGTTTCCGTTGCTTCAATTCATAATGCTTTTTACAAAGACTCCAGCATAGCAACTGCCTCGATTGTATAAACCGCTTTGCTGTTTCCTAGGAGTTCTCATATCGTGAACTACTATGGGATCTGCCTGTATGATGGTTTACTCGACAAGCAAGGATCTGAAGTATTAAATTTGAATCACAAACTTGTAATTGTGGATTAAAACGTACAATTATTTTCCTCTTTAGCCATATATACCAATTCCTTGGATAGATTCTTTCTTTCTATGAGACAAACTATTTTATATTTATGTCAAAAGAATCAACATTATTAAATACATACATTGATATTCATTATCAAGTTTCATTGCCATTACTACGGGCTTATAGTACGATCAACCCATTTTTTAACTCGCGTACGCGACATTAATTGAGTTAAAGTAACAAACTCAATGGAGTCGTTTTGGAGAACTTAAAATCCAACTCGTGAATCCATTGTGATACTATAATAACTCTGACATTGCAAAATGTGCATTCAGATGACCTAGTAATGAAAAGTAGCAGTTTAGCATGTATATAATAAAAAAATTATAAAATCAAGTGCAATACTTACTTTTATGCATATAGTAAGTAAACTTTTTCAAAGAACGCCTTCAAAATTTTGTTATACAAATGTGCATTCAGATGACCTAGTAGTGAAAAGGGGCAGCTTAGCATGTATATAATAGAAAATTATAAACCAAGTGCAACGCTTACTTTTATGCATATAGTAAACTTTTTCAAAAGACGCCTTTAAATTTTGCTATACTTTTTATACCAGGTCGTAGCGGGCCTGTTTGTATTTACTCCTTGCCGATTTATACTGATTTTTGTTGCTTTGCCGTCCTATTATTACTCTAGAGGAAAAGAAAACAAAACAATGTGAGTATCATCGCATCAGGCCAATTACTGAAACGGTCACCGCCTTGATGTGACGAGCCATACATAACTGGCTTCGATAGCCTAAACTCTACCGCGGGCCATCGCATGCTATATCGTTTGACGACTCGTCACAAACGGCTTCGGTAAACCTCAACTTTAGCCAAACTATTGATACAACTTATAACGTACTGAAGTACTTACGGTGGACGAGCAAATAGTCTTCATTGCAAAATCGGCCCCGTTTTTTTTTTTTTTTTTTTCGTATAAAAAGGATCGTAAAGCTCTTCTCGACAAGATGGGTTTTATTTAAAACGCACGACACACAGTCGAAGAGTCGTTATAATGGAAAGTTGGACATTATCAGACAAAGTAGGGGGAAAGGTGTTTATATAGGAAACGTCAGATAAACGAATGTTTTGCCAAATAGGGAATTTCAAATGTGATACAATGTACATGCACGCTATTGTCACAAAATCTCATGATTCCAACATCTTAATATATTAACATCAAATTAGTATACGTCAATAATATAATTTTTTCACTTATATTTTCTTTTAGAAATATTGTAAAATGCATCGCCCGAATACTTGGAATATGAATGTCAAGTAGAATTTAGCAATTTCGTATGGTGTGGGACACCTAAAGACCGAACAGTCCGAAATTTTGTTCTGCAGATCACTTATCAATCACATGATATTTG